CTGCAGCCGTTCCCCGGCATCGACCGGGTAGAAGGACTTTGGCAGCAGCTCCTGCACGCCCAGCGGAATGATCTTCACAAAGTTGCCCCCCGTCCCGGGGACGACATTCGTTCCGGTGACTCCGGTTCCCGCTGCTGAAGAGTTACAGGCGGAAGTAGAAGTAGGAGCGGACGAGGACGTTTTCATCAGAAAGGTGCACATAAAGTCGGTGGGCGAGGGCGGATCGGCGGGCACGTAGCCTACGGAGGACCCCGGTACGCCGCCCTTCAGCGTCGAGCTGCTCACCACGTAGTGGTTCGACTCTAGGGGCGTGTCAAAGAGGGCGGAGGGGAGGAAGGCGAAAGTGTAGCCGCCGTAGAAGGGAAACAGCTCGTCGTGGGCGTCGATGAAGGCGGCCAGGCCTGATCGGCGCTCCTCGGCGCTGGCCGACGGTTGGTAGACGTCCTCCACGTAGGTGACCACCAGCGGCGCGGTCAGACAGTAGAGGGGCGCCAGGTAGCGGTGGTGACACGTCCGATTGAGCCCTTTTGAGCAGAGACAGAGTCGAGCACCGACCGCCCGCCCATAGAAGTCCTGCAGCCCTCCGCCGTCGGTCACGTAGAGGAGGAGAAAGTCGAGCAGCAGCTGAATGTACGTCTCCAGAATCAGCTCCTCGAAGATGACCAGCGCCTCGGAGTGATGGGAGGCGAGGGAGGAGGACCGCCTGACGGTCGCCTGGAGGACGATGAGGAAGTTGTACTTCGTCAGGGTGTCCTCCTCGAAGTGCGTCTCCAAGTAGTTGGTCAGCTTGTCGCGGTGGCGGTCCTGGTAGATGAAGTCAATGAGGAAACGGGTGCACATGTACGGCTCCAGCAGGGTGATGGTGTCCTCGTCGATGGGGGCGTAGTCGCGCACCAGCAGGCTGATGTACTTGAGGAGGCCGCCGCCGCGAATCTCCTCGGGGTTCTTCGTGACGATCAGCCGGTGGTGCAGGTGGACCAGCGACTCGGTGAAGTTGCCGTACATGCTTTCGCCGACCACTGTTGGGTAGAAGTTGGCGGTGATGGGCAGCGACTCCCACTGTCGGGTCAGCGANAGTTGACGGTGATCGGCAGCGACTCCCACTGTCGGGTCAGCGAGATGATGCCTGACTGCCGGTGCTGGGGAGTTTCGGCGGGAGTTTCGGGAGTTTGAGGCTCGATTGAAGAGTCACCGGAAGTGATCGCCGCCGTCGCCGCCGCCTTCTCCGCCGCCTTCTCCGCCGCCGCCTGCTTCGAGACGGAGCTGCAGACGAAGAAGCTGCAGAAGGCGAGCAGCGTGTCAAGGACAATCTGAAAGGAGTCGACGCTGAACTCGTACTGTCGGCGCATCGTGTCGACAAACTTCAGCTCCACATTTCGACCAGCGCTGTTTACCAGCGAAATGAGCGACCACCGGTCCTGCGGTTCCTCTACCTTTACCATCTTATTCACCAGGTGCTCAATGGCTCGTCGGTGGTTGCGGCCATGATGATGGTGGTGGTGGTGATGGGGGTGAGGAGTAGTTTGCTGCTGCTGCTGCTGCTGTTTGGGCATCAGCGCCAGAAGGACCTCGAGGACCGCTTCTCGAACCAGCTCGTACTCCTCGGCGGTGGGCAGGTCCACTGAGAAGATCAGGTCAATGTCGTTGTAGTGGCGAGTGGCGGCGATGGCGGCGGCGTTCTCCGCTGCNCCTCCTCATCTTCATCATTATCGGTTTTTTCATCTTCAGTCTGTTTATCACCACTACCATTACCATTTGATGGACTGGTCGCCGGCAGTGAGAGGACGTACGAGGCCGCGCCGCCGTTCAGTCGAATGTCATAGAGGGCGACGCCCTTCAGCAGCAGCCGCTCTCGGACGGCCATGACCAGGTCCATCAGCGGAAAGCTGACCAGCTCGCCGACGCCCGGCTCCGGGTCCGTTTGAATGCTAATCACCTGGCCCAGCACCTCCTGCAGACAGAGCACCTGGTCGTAGGTGAGCACGTCGAAGCGGGTGTCGTGCATGTCGAAGGCGGATCGCCCGCTGGTTATGATGTGATTTCCATTCTCGTCCGTCAGATTGTAGACGCTGCTCTTCCGCTTCCGGTAGTTGCAGTAGAGGAAGGCGCACTCGGCCAACGAGAGGGACCTCGGAATGGGTCGCAGCTTAAAGGGCAGCAGCAGGTGCTCCGACGCCGAGGTGATCAGGCTGATGACGGCGGCCAGTCCTTTTGGGTCGATGGGTCCTTTTCCGGAAACGGAAGCGGAAGCGGAAGCGGAAGCGGAAAGGGCGGACAGCGACCGAATGCGCAGAAAGGCGTCCCTCGCCTCGCGGCCCTCTCTCAAATCGGCCCCACCGCCGCTGCAATGCGGACTGCTGTGGCCGTTGGCGCTCGGACAGAGGGCGCACGGGTAGAGGTCATTGTGGTGGTGCTGCACTGGAATGGTCGGTGAGGTGGGCCCGCTGAAGTGCCGGTTCTTCTGCTGATGGTGATGGTTTTTCTGATTTGGGTTTGGATTTGACCGACCTCGAGGCCCCTGGTAGCCTCCGTTGTTTCCCTTTCCGCCTTTGTAGTTTCCGTTTCCGTTCACTACCGGTACTACCGCTCCGCTCGTCGCTGGAAACTGCTTGGTAAGGGAGAAATTGCCGCCGCCACGCTTACCATTACGACCGTTGCATTCGTTTCCGTTGTTACCGTTTCCAGTGGTGGTGGTGGTGGTGGTGGAGGTGGCGTAAAAGTACTCGCCTTTTACTGAAATCAACCGCGAGCTGATGCCCGGCCCCTCCTCGGGACAGTACCGAGTCAGGTGTTCGATGATGCCATTGACATTGACCGGCACCGAGTCGGGCACCAGACAGGCGGAGGAGGCGGGCAGGCGTTCAGTGCTACTGGTCATCGTCATCGTCATTGTCATCGTCATCGGCGGCGGCGGC